AGAAATAGGAACGTACGTTTCAAGCTTAGCTTGACTTTTGTTAGCTGGCGCATGAATAGTTTCCCTTATTTCACAGCACGAACTCACGGTTAAGGTCTGAGTTCAAAATTTTTTGGGTTGAACTGAATTGAGTTAAAGTGGATTAAGTTGCAATGAGAAAAATTTGGTTGAGCTGATTTAAGTGGAGTTCAGTGAATGTTTTGGTAGAGTTGAAGTATCACCGCTGCAAGGTTTTGATTATTCATTGCCCTTCAATGGCCCCCAACTTACAAGAGTGAGATGCGAAAGCAATCATTTCTACCCTGATGATTCTTGAATCGTTGCGCCAAAACATTCAACGTAAAATGGTAAACTCCTTCTTCTTCACTTGGCATTGGCAATGCAATGATAGTAGCTTGGCGTAAATTAGTAATTTCGAACTATTTTTGTAAAAGATGCCTCTCAATGAGGAAACAAATATTGACGCAGCCAATCGATAAATGCAAAATAAACGCAATCGAGCTCCTTTTGCTGACCTTAACCGGAATTATGTCACTAAGGTACAATATTTCCACTCAACAGGTATAACAACAACAACAGCAACAACAACACAAACAATAGTTAAATGAAAATAAAGGCTTGCAACAAAAATAGTGCAGCTGACTGTCACACACATATGTAACTGATTGCATTAAACAACGAAAAAACGCACAGCATACGGTGCACGGCTCAGAGACGGCGTCGGAGGCAATAATACGTCTGTGTATATGTGTGTGTGTGTGTTGTGTGAACTCTGTTTAGCGGATGTGCACGCTTTGTAAAGTGTGGAAAGCTACAAGAAACTCTTTGTATGTATGTTTGTATGTATGTTTGTATGTATGTGTGTGTGTGTATAGTGTGTAATTCATATAATTTTCATATGCACTTCATTACGAAAGTACAGCCAATAAAGACTTGACTTCGTAACCTTAACCGATAGTCCGTTTTGTGCATGTGCGTTTGTGTGTGTGTAAGAGATTTTGCGCGTGTATGATTTGAGCCCTATAAGCCGCACAATACAATATTTGCCAGTCAATTATATATATACATACAATTGTATTTACAAATGTATTGAGACTTACCAAAAGCAGTACATTAGGGTGTTCGCTATTTAATGAATGGGTTTTTATTTGTGCCAACCAATACACCAACTTTACTGTAGCTTATAAAATAAGCTAGTAAATAGGTTTTTGGCGTTCACGAATAATTACATTAAAAAAAATTTTTTTTTTTTGGTTATTTGGTTATAAATATATTTATATATATTTTTTTAATAAGGGTATTTTTTTTTAGCCATTAATCCCGAACAACAAAAATCATATATAATAACTCATTAATCAATTGGATTTAATTTAATTTATTAATAGCTAAATAAAGGAAACAAAATCTTGATTTTATCAGATTCTAATTATTTATTAACTTTTTTATTTTTCTCTTGAGTAAGTTAAAATTGTTTAGAGAAAGTCATCCCTTGATGTATTGGTTTTTTTTTTAACTTTTTTAATTTATTTTTCCTTGAATAAGTTAAAATGGTTCAAAAATTATTTCATATATAAAATCAAAAATCTGTTTAAATTGAAATTTCAAATTTCTTAGCTTCATTTTGAATTTTTAAAGAAAAAATCAAACTTTGTAAATAATGTACACCCTAATGGTAGATTCACACACACATATATACATATCCACAACCGCACACACCAGCCCTAACATGTTTACGTGCTGTAGCGCCTCTAAGTAGGCCACCAATCTTGAATTACTGTCGTTCAGTTAAATGATAACAAACTTGTGGTGCATATAACTACCTACATACACACTCACTTATAAATGGCGTAAATACAACTGACATTAAGTCAGTCAGTTCTGCCTTCATTTTGACTTGACATAGATGTATGTATGTATCTATGTATTTGAATTATTATTGCTCAGCATTTGTGTAAACATGTATGTATGCATGTATGTAAGTGTAATGGTTTTTTATGCCCGCTGTATGGTGTATGTCTCCATTTTTTATTGCTCAGAGTGACAAAACCGACAGCCAGACAGACAGACAGACACGGCGGGCGGCATTTGTGTACGTTGTTGCAGACATCGCGGGGTCACCGGGTTACCACCTGCGTTAGGCAGTCATCGTCGTCAGGCAGCTGTAACAACTATTGTACAGTATAAATTCATGGTAAATTGTGTATTTGTAGTTGTTAGCGCTTGTTGTTTTTGTTTTTTGTTGTTATTCTTATTTTGCTGTTGACAAGTTCAAATCCAGTCAGGCGCAGTCTCACAGCTGAAGGTGTGCAATTGTGTGTGTATGTGTGTATGTCTTCTTCTATGTGTGGTATCATCAAATCGTACGACCAGTCATTGACAACGCGCTTTATGCAAGTGTCTTCTTCTGACAGTATCTTAGCGAATATTGATAGCAACAGGTTGATGCTAACGGCGTCTGTTGTAACGGTATCGGAACGGTGTAAATCGTAGTAATTGAGTTATAGTGCAATTTCACTTATGTATACTTTTATTGTCTTTTGGTGATGCAAACTACAACAATATATTGTTATGAAATATTTATTAACAATTAAAATTTTATTTTCTAAGTTTTTTATGAAAGAAATTGAAAAGTGTGACGCTCCAAAGAGCGAATAATATACAAATAGCAAAATATCTATATAGCAAAGATTATAAAAAACATTAAAACCAAATTCAATGTGCGTGCGTAAAGTGTAAAATTCACCGTCAAAATGAAAAGCAAAATCCGTTATACGCGCAGCAAAAGTTTTAAGGAAATACTCGGCTATAATTATGACAAGTAAGTGTGTGTGAAGTTTGAGGAAAAAATGTGGTTTTCATTAATGTCAGGAATTTATTAAAAAATAATTCTTTTAAATTTATTTAAATATTTTTACTTTAACGAGTATATTACTGAAATAAAATATGTAACGAGTATTCTTATAAACATATATATTATATATAAATACTTGAAAAACACATAGCTACTAATTTTAATATAAAAAATTTTACTACTAAACGAGTGTCGTTTGTAGTTTATAATTTAAGTTTATAGTTAACAGTATATGTAGTTTACTTTTGAGAAAAAAACCGTTTATTACACTGGTTTAAATAAAATAATTTAACAGTTTTTTTTTTGTTTTTGATTTATTTATTAATTTTCTCGGACTCGATAATAAGTTTAATGGTTATCGTTTTCCATTTTAGTGCTTCTATTTCTTTTGTCAGGCAAACTTAGTTTATCCTTGAGATATGGAAGTTTTTATTAGTGTATTCTTATATAATTAGATTATTCTTTAAAATCGATTTTCTTTAAATATTCCCAATTTAATATAAAATATTTAAATGCATGCATAATATAATAATATATTTTCTTTTAGGCTTAAAAATTTTCTCTTTTTATTGGTTTGTTTTTTATAGTGACATTTATTTTATTTAGTTTGAATTAATTTTTTAATTTCCTCTTTGTCTTTTTTATTATATTTTGTTTTATTTAATTTGCTTTATTTTAATCTATTTTATTTTGTTGTTTTTATTTATTTTTACATACTATACATATACCTATACATTATATATATTTTGTTATCTTTTATATTTGCATCACTTTTTTTATTTTATTTATTATTTTTCATTTCATTTTATTTTATTTCAATTTACTTTTTATTACCTATGCATTATATATATTTTGTTATCTTTTATTATTTACCTTACTTTTTTATTTTACTCGATATCTTTCACTTCATTTTATTTTATTTTGTATAATTTTATTATTTATTTTTTTCTAATTTTTTATTCTATATAATTTTTTTATTTGTTTTTTTTTTTTTTGTAATTTTTTCAATTCTGATTTATCGTCATATTGATATTTTTATTTGATTTGTATTTAAGTTTTTATCTTACTCTGTTTTTAATTATTTTTTATTTTACGTTGTTGTGTTTAATTTCATTTTAAATTAAGTTATTTTATTTCATTTATTTTTTTTTATTTTATCGTATTTTATTATTTAGTTTCATTTTTTGCTATAAACCATTCTTTAAATATATTTAATTTAATTTGTTTTGTATTACATTTTATTGCCCTTTATTATTTAAAGTTTTTTGTTTTGTTTTATTTTAATTTTTTTTGTTTTCTTTATTTTTCATTTGTTATATTTTCTTTTCTATTTATATTTTTATTTCAGACTTTTAATGTTTTTTTTTTATTACATTTTATATCATTATTTAAGCACATTCTATTTTATTTTAGTTTGCCATAAATTTTTAATTTTTCTTTATTTATTATTTTATTTCATTTCGTTTTGCTTTGTTTTAATATATTTTATTTAATCCTTTATCTCCCGTAATGTTATCATTTAGTTCATTTAATTTTTTATAAAAAAATTAGTTTAGTTTGTGCTTTGTTTTATTATAATTTAAAAATTTGTAGCTCTGGAAAAGTAAAAAAAAATTGTATAATCGTTTATAAATATCTGTACGACGAAATATCGAAGGATCACCTATTTCAGTGCTCGACTGTAGTCTGTTCGGCACCATAAACAGCTTTTGAATTTCTGTAAAATAACAAACTCAAATCAGTACTTTTCGGGAAGTTTTTAGTCGAACTTGGTTCAAAAGCATTGAGGTGCTCTTCATTTTTAAAGAATTCGTTATCAAAAATAGGTTCTCCATAATCTGCTCAGATATTCTAAAAATTACCTGTAAGCCCTTAGCATAACCTTCAAAAAAAGTACATAATTTCTTATGAAAAAAAAAATTAGTATATTAATATTAATTGATTCAAATGCAATTTTTATTTATACATAAGTATCTATTTTAATAAATGATAATAGATGTTTTTCAAAATGTTAAATACCAAAAAAATCTGATCACGCAATATATACATACGTCTCTATTTATAATCAAAAATTCTTACATTTTTCCTGGTTGTTTTACAAATTTATTAATTCTCTTCTTTTCTCCCACTCTTTGTTATCCAATTATAGTGATGAGCAAGCCGATGTTGGACTTTCCAATTCCAATTACACCGCAAGTTCCAATTCTAGTCTTTCCTCGGGTGGCGGCTCTGAGAGTCCCAGCACCTCCATGGAACAAATGGGTGGCGCCGGTGGCGGTCCAAACGCTACCGCTAGCGGTCACCCAATCACACATCATCACAGTATGCATGCCCACCACACCACACCGCATCATCACATGCATCAACACAGTCATCAGGACTCCTTTCACGGTAGTATCGGTGGCGGTTCGATGAATACCAGCTTTTGGGGCAGCAGTTTTGGTGGCGTTGGCAGTGGACATCCGGGTGGTCCAAGACAGTGGAATTTTGAAAGTGACGATGATGATGATCTCAATGAGGCCGATTGGAGTTCGAATGTCACAGCGGAGCTTTTGGCTGCGCTCACCGATGCAGAAAAGAAACGACAGGAGATTATAAATGGTGAGTTTTGAGATGGAAAAATTTTCTTATTTTATTACGGAAAATTTAATTTCATTATTTTTGCAATCAACAGAAATTTATCAAACCGAGCGCAGTCACGTGCGTATTCTTAAGCTATTGGAACGTCTCTTCCTTGTACCACTGCAAGAGAGTAGTCTACTCACAAACGAACATTTAATGCTACTTTTCCCGCCCGCACTGCTTGCTCTACGCGACATTCACAGTTCGTTCGAGCAACAACTCAAGCAGCGACGCATAGAACACAATCACGTTGTCACACATATTGGTGATCTGCTCTCTGGCATGTTCTACGGCAAGTCCGGCGAGGATCTATGTCAATATGCAGCACAATTTTGTGCGCGTCAACAAATCGCATTGGAAGCATTGAAGGAGAAACGTCGCAAGGACGAACAATTGCAGAAGCTATTAAATAAAGCCGAATCGCACAAGGCTTGTCGGCGTCTACAGTTGAAAGATTTGCTGCCGGCCGTTTTACAGCGTCTAACCAAATATCCGCTGCTCTTTGAAAATCTCTACAAGGTAACGATACGTGTCGTGCCCGAAAACACGACTGAGGCGGAGGCCATACAGCGCGCGCTGGAATCGTCTAAGAAGATACTCGTTGATGTAAATCAGGCTGTGAAGTTTGCTGAAGATACGCACAAGTGAGTGCAACACTGAGAATTTTTATAAGATTTATATTAGGGAACAACGATAAAAATCTTAATGCTTTTTTATATGCTTTCAGATTGCAAAACATTCAGAAGAAATTAGACAAATCAACCTTTGACAAAGATGAATTTAAAGTAAGTCGCGACATATTACTCAGCTTTTCAGTAGTTATCAATTTATATTCTCTTCTTGTACACAGAATTTGGACTTAACACAATACCGTCTCATACACGATGGTAGTTTGACAATGAAGAAAAATCCCAGCATACAATTGCACGGTCTACTCTTTGAAGATATGATTGTGTTGCTAACGAAACAGGTAATTTTCTATTTAAATTTTTTTTTTATTAATTATTCATATAAATTTTATCGTTTTTATTATTTGACTCGTAGGACGATAAATATTCTTTGAAATATTTACATGCCACACGGAACGCCGAAGTCAATAATAAACCAGTTAGCCCGATTATGAGCATCGATTCAGAAACGTTGGTTCGTCAAGAAGCCGCCGATAAGAATTCTTTCTTTTTGATTAAGACAAAAACATCCCAAATGTTGGAATTACGTGCACCAAGCAGTTCGGAGTGTAAAACGTAAGTGCAAAATCTTTCATTCTTCTATATTCGTTCGAATAGGCATAATGGCGCAATCAACTGTAGTGGAACGAAATATAAATGAAATACTAAATAGCTCAGAGTTAATATGATAATATTTAAATCCAAGCATTGTGTATCATAATTGATACCTGTGGGTTAACTATACTAAATCTGGTATGATTTTAGTAGGTAATACTGAGAGTTTTGGATTTTAAGCCAATTTTCATTTGTCGTTTTTTGTTGAATATTTTCATTCATGACAAGGCTAATAAAAAAAGGAGTAAACCCTTTAAGTTGGTCTTGAAAATTTCATTTATATACACAAAATTCTCCTATACTACTATGAGCTAAAAATAGCAGGAATTTGTTTATTAATCAACTTCATTCTTTCTAAATAATCCCCTCTCATTATAAAAGACTTATGCCAACTTTTCCTCCAATCCTCGATACGTGTTAAAAAAAAGTCACTTCACGTATGGTCTTCAGAACCCGTACCGATCAACATTGAATATCTTCAATTCACTCGAAACATTGTCCTTGTAGTAGTTTTTAAAGTTTGGAGAATAGCCAAAAGAGATCAGGAGCTAAATCAGGCGAATACGCTGCGGCTGCGGATTGCTATGGGTCGAGTTTTTGGTGAAACGATCATGCTGCTTCTCCATGAAATTGAGCGTTTTTGGTCATCAACAGCGACTTCATTTTTCTGTGACCGGAAATGACCCACAAAATGATTTTTACTGATCCTTTTTTTCCGTGCCTCGTCTTGAATGCTTTTTCGCTTCTCTTTTGTCATTCCTCGCACAATATTGCAAAAATCGCCAACTGCGTAAGCTCCAACACCAATGAATCTTCTTACGTGGAATTTGAAGGTCTACTGGAATCTCAAAAAATTTAAGCTCCACTTTCCCGGTACTTTTTGTCTACATTAAAATATAAGATTACCTCAAACCATTAATAATCACATAAATCAAATAAGTTCAGAAATACTATTTCAATTCAAAAAAAAAAAAACTCTTTTGCAACTTTAATAATTTATTTCATGTAAACTTATATATTGTGTAATTAAAGTCAACAACATCAAAAACACTTCCTGTCCGAATTAAAGGCCGTTTAGAAATTCGATTTGAATGAGTGAAAGGGAAATTGTAAGGATTCTTGAAAACACGCCAATTTTAGATAAACAAAGTACAGTTTTCATTAAAAGTTTTTCCTTATACATTTTCGAGAGATCCAGTTTCATACACTTAATGTGCAAATTAAAGTATATCCAAAAAAAATCGCACAAGTAAAAGGTCGCAATAAAAGATGTTGCGTTTTATTGCAAAAAAATTGTAAAACCAATACAAATAAGAATAACAAAAGAAAATATTGCTGAGCATGTAATTATTGCTTGAAAACTTTTCACATTCATGAATGGAACATCCATTAATACTGCGGTTAATATTATAAAATACGAAAGGTATACTCACACAAAGGCCGTGCTTTTCGACAAATTTTTATTATTTTTATATAAAGTCTTAGTATTTTCTGGCCTTAATAGCAATATATTACTGCTACTAAGATTGAATTATGATAAATTAGATCACAACAATACTTGTATTCCTTTTTTGTGAGATCAACTTTAGTTCAGAGCATTCGATATTCTTCTCTCAAGTCTCCTCAGTGAATTTGCTTCAGCAAAAAGCCATCATCTATAGTCTTTTGATAAAATTTAGTGTAAAAATAGTATTTTGCGGCGATTAGTATTTCTAACAACTTATTTATGCTATATAAGTTCGCTAGAACTAAAACATAGGAAACATTACAAATATATAAAATTTTCTTATACTTGCATACAAGGGAGCCCTCACATGTGTTTGTATTAGTACTGAAGTAACCTAAGGAGAGTTTAAGCGACACTTTCAGAAATCTGGAAATTTTTTAAATATGTTTATATATATGATTTATAAATATTTCAATATTTTGAAAAATATTTTACTACTTTTTTCTTATATTTAAATTTTCCATTTAAATTTTCTAAATTTTTAATTTATGTCAATATTTAAATATTTTTATTTTTTTTTATTTTTTATTTTATTTTATTTTTTTCTATTATTTTAGTTTTTTATGATTTTTTGTCAAGAAATCGTTTAGTTATTGTGCGCATTCAACTCGTTTGTTATTTACAGTTATATGCACGCTAGGCAATTAACCTGTCAGCGGCGTAATTAAGTGCGTCACAAAAATGGCAATTTTTTCCTTTATTACCACATGCGGAAAAGTAAATTCGTATGTGTGTATAATTTACGCATTTTGCGTAAAATTTTCCTTTGCCCGATTAGGGATTTATGAATAATTCAACAATAAGTCAGTCAGTCATACAGTTAGATGTAAACTATTTGCTCGTATAAGAAATGTGTTCAATTGCTTTTGTTATTAAAATTATTTTCAATTTTACTAAAACAAATAACATTGAAATGTCGAATTGCTACACACATACATATATCGTATGTATATACATATATATATATTTTGCTGTTATTGAAAAATATGCTTATAAGAGAAAGCATTTTTGTCAGTTAAAATACAATAATACATTCTGTAGCTATGTATGCAAGTATATAGAATACACTTGCGTATGTATAGAAATGTATGGATGAAATGTAATTCATTGCAAAGTAGAAATATATAAATATTTTTTTCGTCCTCAAACCATCAGTTTTCATTTCCACTTCTTTACATAGAATATTTTTATATAGTTTTTATATTTTTATCTCTCTTCCGCTTATTTGTTGTATTTTTAAGCAAATTAAAAATGTCTGCAATTAGTAACGTTACATTAGAAGGTTTTTTTGGGCAAACATTCACATATTTTTATATTATAATTTAGATTGACATTTCTTTGTTTATATATACAACCATTCCCATATTCATTATCAGTTTTATTGCATGCCCTTCTTTTTATTTACATCATTCTTGTATTCTCCCACAGGGCGTATGAGTTGCCTTTGATTGCCCTCAGCATATTGCAACGTTACTCATACGCCCCGCCAACAGCGCGTCTTAACAATTTGTACCTGCTTTTGTATGAGTTAAAGTGTTACACATTATTAAAAGCAAACCAAGCACAACAAATTTATATTACCTGTGATTTTTCCGGCAAATAACGTGACGGCCACTGACACATCCACACAAACCATACTTGGTTTGGCTAGAATAAAAGTGCGCAAAGCATGCCGTTTGATGTAATGTTTTTTTGGCGCGGAAATTATTTTCCTTGTGCTACTTACTCTTCTATGTACACATTTTTGTATGCATGTATTAAGAAGTTTACAAATAAATACAAAAAATATATTAAATAAGCTTTTTCGAATTTCAATTTTCGCCGCTACTCGGTCAATTACAATAAAATATTTGTATATTTATGTGTGTATTTATACTCACTTGTATTCAGCGATATCTCGTTGCTCATTTAAGCAGCAAATTGCCTGGTTGACAGCTCTATTGTAGCATTTACTTTTTCTGAAATGTCTACTTATGATGTATTGTCTGTCTGTTTCTGTGTCTGTATGTGTCGCATTACATTTGCCATTTGCACTAGTGGACCTGCTGTTCGCTGTCCGTTGTTTTTAATGTCATCTACACTGTCAACTATATATTTATACATGTATACATAAGTACTATATAAATATGTATTTATGCATAATTTTCCTTGTTCCATTTCTTAATTTTTTTGACGCCATGCCTTGTACCTCTGCCTATTTTTTATATAATTTTTTTTTTTTTGTTATGTTAATTTGTTCATTGTTATTGACCATTTTGGTTTGTCAGTGCTCTAGAAAAAGTATTTTTATGCAAATTTAGACAGATTCAAAGATCTTTAATACTAAATGTTTAGTAAATAGCTTTCAGTCATTGATTCATTCATATTTTATGGCATTTTTCGGCACCCCCATTAGAATAATAGATGATTTGACATTCTGATTATGTTTGCCGTTTTAAATGTAATGAATTTTAAAAATGAGAAAGAATGAATGTTATTTACAGATTTTTGTTTTTATATTTTTCAACGTTTTTACTGTAGAGAAATTAATTATTTTTTAAATTTCTTCTGTTGTACTAAAAAATATAAGGAAATTTTTTTGTACTAAGACTTTTTTTGATAAATAAATAATTAAATAAATACGAATTTTTCTAAAATTTGTGAACATTTCCACTTTCATTCTTATATCTTAAAAATATTAAATTTTAAAGGATGAAGTGGAGTAGTAATATATTCAATAAATTCGATTCATATTCAAGCAGTGGACGAACAATTCTAAAAAATATTCCGGGCTCTAATTATCTAGAAATTTATAACTTAAGAAGAGAGTCACGTAAGAAAGTTTATATGAAGATGGCAAACAGTTTTGAGAATCGCCAAAAAATATTCCGTTTCAGATTGATGAATAGTTAAAGAACCTCAATTTATTTTTATTCCACGCTCGCTGTATGCATTCTCTACCTATTCAAAACATGAAAGATGAACAATTGTTGAGACTTCTGAAATCCTACGCTTTTGGTCTCGTAACTTAAACTCAAGGCTCGTCTGTAAATCCTGAAAAGGTGCTTTTGCTAATACTAAGATCAAAGGTTTAGTTCTTAGCCCACCAAATTGAGCAAAGCACGTGTTCCATATAAGTTACAGTATACTTAAAAATATGACTTAAATGGCTATTTTTTTCTAGACAATTGTATCTAAAAATTAACTTATTTACTATTTTTTTATTTTTCTAATCGTTTCGACTCAAAAGTATGTATCAGCAACTTAAATTTACTATACTCTTCTCCCTCTTCTTCAACTCATTCATAAATAATCTCAAAATAAACGCAAACATTATTTTCCCAACGCATTTCCATTTATTTATTTGCCAATCAACAATAATTTTACTCAATTTTATAATGAAATTAAATGATTTTCTGCTATTAATGTTGCTATAAACCGGACAAGGCAACAAAATGCCAAATTGGCAATATTT